GAGAGAGCGGAGCACTGCCGCCTACCGGCCCGGCACCGACACCGGGCGGCACCGGCACCGCGGCGCTGGGAGCCGGGGGGAGGCGGCAACCGCGGCGCATCGCCGCCCCGGGGCGCCCCGTGCGGGGACGGCGGGGAGCGGGCGGACGGCAGTGCCCGCAGCTCCGGGCTCTCCGCCGCGGCTGCCCGGAGCGCTAGGAGGGGACGCTCGGCCGCCAGAGGTGCGGCGGTGCCGGCCGTGAACCGAGGGCGCCTCGCGCTCCTTCGGGTCCCTCCCTGCCCACAGCGGGGTGCTCACCCCACGGACGGGGTCCGAGCCGCCTCGGCACCCATCCGGAATGGCAGAATGGCTCGCGGGGGAGAGCAGGAATGCCCGCAGCTCCCCGTCGCGCTGCCCGTTGCTTCGCAGGAGCTCAGCGGGTCGGTCGGGCACGACCTCCTCTTCACACCGACTGCCGATGTTCCTCACGTGCTTGGAAGTGTCGGGTCGGGTGTTAGGAAAGGCTCCGGACCGACATTAGGAGCAATTTCTTCTCCAAGCAGCGGTCGGGCGCTGGCACAGCTGCCCGAGGAGGTGTCACCACCCCGGAGGCGCTCAGGAGCCGTGGGGATGTGGCCCCGGGGCTGTGGGCACGGTGGGGATGGGCTGGGGGGTCTCAGGGGTCTGAACCGGAGCGTCACTGCTTCCCCATCCTTGCATTAGAATGCTCCTTAAATAATGCTTTGGGTGCAGTCAACACGGCTCCGTTCAGCTCCACACGAAGCATCCAGCCACCAATTAACACCAGCTCCTAATCACCACCCTTTGGCCGACACCAGCCGTGCCTCTCATTGACTCACAGTAGAGCTCCACAAGGAGCACAGAGTCCAACACCACACAGGACCACCCAGAAATCACACCACGATATTGGGAGCTTTATTCAGCTCAGTAATATCGTCTGGTTTCAAACCTTCCCCTGCAGCTGATAGAAGCCATCACCTCTGGAGATTTTGGTAACAGAACACAAAACCTTTCCCAGTGAGGCGTCGGGCCTCCAACCAGTTCAGGTTGGTGAGTTTGGGTTTTTCTGTAAGGCTTTTTCTGCCCACTTATAGGGCAGCGCTCCTGCGTGAGTTCTCTGCTGTCCAATCGGGGCTGCGTGGTGACCAAAGCTTCAACTACAGTCTGTATGCATGATGCCTGGTGCTTCTTGATATGAACCTGCTTGTGGTTTAGAAGCCTTTGGGTGAATAGCAGATGGTGATGGGACAAGGGGAATGGTTTTAAAGTGAGACAGGGGAGGTTTAGGTTGGATATGAGGAGGAAGTTTTTCCCCCACAGGGTGGTGAGGCACTGGCACAGGTTGCCCAAGGAGGCTGTGGATGCCCCATCCCTGCAGGCATTCAAGGCCAGGCTGGATGTGGCTCTGGGCAGCCTGGGCTGCTGGTTGGTGACCTGCACACAGCAGGGGTTGGAGCTGGATGAGCATCGTGCTGCTTTGCAACCCAGGCCGTTCTGTGACTCCATGATTCTATGAAAAATTCTATGAAAAGCCTTCTGCTTTCCCCAAGGACAACACTTTTGGTGCCAGCACTGTAAGCAAACACTTTGAGGCACCGTTTTCCCATGAAAACCTGTGCAACCACTGTCTAAATGCAGCTCTCCCTTTCCCTCTGCAGATGGGTCCAACGAGGAGACGACTGCAAATGATTGCCACAGCTGCCCTGGCACCTCAGGGGAAAGCTAGGAACAGAAGCAGGATTTGTCTTCCCATCTTTAATTCCAGAAATCATAACTAGAAGATTGAAAACCTCAAGTGTTCACAAGTGGGAGGTCTTGAACTGATGCAGCCACAATGCACCTCAGCACTGGGTGCACTGTGCCATCGGTGGCTCCTGGCTGCCTTGCTGGCACACTTGTTTTCCTCCAGCTGATTCCTTCTCATGCAGTGCACAGCACATGCTCTTCTTTTTTTAATCAGGTCAGAACTGTACAAAAAAACAGAGGCCGTTGTCTGCCGATTCCAGCTGTGTGTAAAAACCACAAACTATGCAAAGAATAAAAAGGTGGAATTACATCACTGCATTATTTTGTGGATTTTTACATTTGAGAGACTGGAAATAGCAACAGAATGAGGTTAGGCTAAAATCAGCATTTCCCAAACAGCAGAAAGCAGAAAGCAGAAAGCAGAGCAAGCAACTGCTGGGGCTCCTCAGGTCTGCAGTCAGAGCACCTTCCTGTAATTAGCATCAGGTCTGCTCTGCTGTGAGCCCAAGGAATCACCTGAAAGCTGAGGAAGCAGAGGGGCTCACAGCTTCAGATTTAAAAAGCAGTGCTTTCAAATGTCGTCGGGTACTTCATGCTTCTACTTTCATACTTCCATGCTTCTCACTTCCAGTGAGATTTCTTCACTTCCTGGGGTGTTGCTGGTGTTATTTAACCATCCTGCACCAAACACAGCTCAGTGCTCTTGGGTGAATCACAAAAACTACACGGTGGGATTTGGGGGCGATGAAGGAACACAGAACTCTGTGACTCGTTAATCACAGGGCCATCACCATGGCAGCTCCTTAACTCCCGCGTTTAAACCTTTTCCTTGCTTTAAGGCTTAAGCCTTTTTCTCCTTCGCCCCTCATGTGCATTACGTGCATCACCTGGGGCACCAACGGAGGCCCTGAGCTCTCTGGCAGGGCAGCACCTCCACTGCCCCTCTTACCCCATCCGTGCAGTGCGTGGCTTCAGCTCCTCGCACCAGCAGAGGGCGGGGTGGGCAGCACATATGGAGCTGTTAGCAAAGCGAGTCGATCGTACAAAGACCTCCCCTCATAAACACTCAGAATTAAGGTTAATCCACAACAAAATCCAAGGGTTTGAGGAGTGAGTGGAAGCCCAGAGGCAGGCTTAGAAACAGCACAGATCCCTCAGCCTTCAGAAATAAAGGGAAAAATAACCCCCACCCCAAGTGCTTACAGACCTGCAATCCTCTTCATCACCTCCTCCTCGTATAATTCCTTCTGCCACTCTTCCCCTCTTGTGCTGCCACGTTCCCAAACGTCCCACAGGCCTAAAACAGAAAGCATTCAATGCCAGTGCTGTGCTGAACACACTCGAAAGCCCTCTGTTCAAACAGTGTTAGCACAGCACACGACCTATGGAGCTTACAGCTCAATCTCCTCCTGTCATTTCCACATGGAGCATGGAAGCAGCAAGATGACTTTAAAATAATGTGACTTGATGACCTTCTAAAGCAACTGAGCCAAAAATTAGTTGTAAAAAAACCTGCAGTCAGTGAATTGGAAACCACAGTTGCTGAATTAATAAAATAATCAAAACCTAAGAAATTTCAGAGTGTTTTTAAAGCACATTCTGAGGAGCTGCTGCAGTCCATCAGATCCGGCTCCAAGAACTTCCCCTGCTGATAAGACTCAGAAGGTGATGCAAACAAAAATTAAAGCCCTACGAATAGTGACGATTAAGACATTTTATGTTAGAAGAGACTGAAGGCAAAATGTTAAAAATGTGTTCTCATATTGCCATTAATTTCTTTTGATTCATCCGGATCTTTCTCGAGCTGAGCAGTGCTGAACAACGGCCCCTGTTGCTGCAGTCTGAACCCAAACACAGCACCCACACATCCATGGTGAGAAGCAGTTCACACTTTGCCTTCACAGCTACTGCATGCAGCGTTTGCAGCTGGAACCTGAGCACAGAGAGCTCCCAGATGCATTCAGTCCCCTCTGCCACCAACCTCTGAATGCCGCATTGCTGCCTCCTTGACTGGCATTGCATGAAGTCCCTCCTATTAAGAGAAATAAACACAGCTGAAATCTCCTGATTACCTTCAGGAGCTCTGGCTTTGCTTCCAAGTTCAATTACTTATTCCACCACTGAGGCTGTGAGGGCTCCTCGTGAGCCGGTTCCCATCTTCCCCCAGGATGAACTTCTCGGGAACGGCCCCTTTCAGCAGCCATCTGCTCCTCTTAATTTTTACGGGGTTGATTTCAAAAGAACCGTCCTCAAAGCACTTTGAACACAACCGCCGGTGCTTGGAAGGCGCCCCCGCGTCCCGGCCCGTGGCGTGGATCCACCGCTTTGTTTTGGAGAGGGAAACCATCGAAAGTGACGGCGCCGTCCTCGCAGCCCCCGCTGGCGGCACTCGGGCAGCTCAGCGCCGAGCAGTAAGCCGTTAAAGGCAGAGATGGGAGCAGCTCGGAAGTAACGCGCCAGAAGGAGGGCAGCAGGGGCACCAGCTGCTTTAGTTCGAAGCGGGCCGCAATTCTCTGGGAAAACCAGGGATTTCAGAGCGGGAAGAGCTGTGCGCGGGCCGCAGCCCCAGCAGCGCTCAGCTTCACCGCATTGAAGCGACCGAAACACCCGAAAGGGAAAAACCTTTTAAACCAGCTTCAAGGAGCCGTTCGCACACAGCTGCGAGCGGCGCGGACCTCCCGCAATGCAACGCCTTTCGTTAACCGGCGCTTCCGTGAGGAACCCCGCGCGTTCCGCCACCAAGTTCACTCAGGGGCCCCGACAAAGGGCCAGATCCAAACATCCCGGCCTGAGCCCGATGCTTCGGGTGCCCGGGGCGCCGCTGCGGCTCGCCCCGGCGGCCCTCAGGAGGGCTGTGCGAAGGCCGGCCGGCACAACCCCGCTCCCCGCCACCACGGCGCCGCCATCTTGCTGCGCACCGCCCCCCTCGACCCGGTGCGAGCCAATCAGAACGCTCGGTGCGCGAAGAACCACCCCGCCTCCCCTCGCCATTGGCCTGCAGCTGCTTTGCCCCGCCCCCCCGCACGACTAGAGCCAATCAACGCGGGCACGTGCCGCGCGGCCTCCCAAGTCTGGCCAATGGAGAAAGCAGAGCTTTTTGATTGGAGGAGGAGCGAGCGTGACGTCACAGGAAGCGCCCACAGCCGGCCCGTTGCCATAACGACAGCGGCGCGGCGCCGGGCCGGACGTGGGAGCCAGGAACCTGGCTCTGATTCGGCCTCGGTTCCTGCATTTCCACCCTGCGAGGCTCAGCGTCACTGAGAGCCACGAGAAGCTTCTTTATTATCAAAAGCAACGCGATGTCGCAGAGCATTTGACCCGGCAGCGCCCCTCCCCCCGTAAAAACGCAGCAACTCAACGCCTCGAGGAGGACGTTCTACAAAGGTTTACAGGGCCTGTTATCAGGACTCAGCAAGTTGCACGACACCGTCCAGAGCTGCGACGGAGAAGCACCTGAAGGCTGCCCAGAAGGCACAGCGTGCTGTGGGGTCACACGGGAACTCCCTGCACCACCACTGGAGGCGGAACGCAGCCCTCCTCAGCTCACACGGCTCCCTGTGCTCAGTACAGGATACTGAAGTCACCCACAGATCCGTTCCCAGACTCTGAGATGCCATGGGATGACATCTGGGATGTCCTCCAGCCCGAAGCATTCACACAGCGCTCTGTGTCGATGTTAATTCTCTCCAGAGTGGGTTCAGGAGCTGTGAGCACTGCAGATTTCCTGCATATCCCATAGCAAGGCATAGAATCCTTAGGGTTGGAAGGGACTCCCGAAGGCCATCGGTCCAACTGCCCTGCAGCCGTCAGGCAGCTCCAGAGATCGCCCCGATGCACTCTGTGGAAAATAAACACCAACGTTCTCCCCTCCCCATGCAGGGAGCTGCCATCCAACAGCCACCTCAGCTCAGTGCTGAGCTGGAAGACCCCGCTGTGCACCTGCTTGGCTGCCCACAACAGGGCAGGATTTCCTATCTGGAGTGCAGCACGGATTCCCTGATCTCTGCGCAGGGCCAGCTGGCAGTCTGATGTGTTCTCTGCACATGGCTTTCCTGATGCTTAATTAAACTCCTCCTGAGTACGAACCTTTTGCTGCAGAGGTGGCATGGGAAAAGCCCCTCTCCCGAGTGGCGGCGCAGATGTTTTAAGAGATAATCCTTCCTCCTGTAGCTTTTGTCACACTCGGAGCACTTGTAGGGCCTCTCACCCGTGTGAGAGGTCTGGTGTCGGACAAGCCAGGAGTGACAAACAAAGCTTTTCCCACAGTCATTGCATATGTAGGACTTCCCCCTGCCCTGGCTCTGCTGTTGGCTCGCTAAGCCACCCCTGGGCGCCTCCAACACGTCCCGCGGGTCGGCCTCGCAGGGGCTGGATAGCAAATTCTCTGCAGGGAGCTTCCCTCCACTCCCCATCGACGGCTGCTCCTCTCTGCAAAGGCCGTTGTGCTCACGAAGCCTGGTTCTACCTGCACTGCTTGGCACGAGCTTGGCTGGCAGCCCTTCAAACTTCTCCCCTGCAGCATCCACTGGGTGCTGGAAGGCCGCCTCCATGGGACTGTTCTCACACTTGGGGACTGGCAGCAGCTCTTCCTGGGCTCCCTGCAGAGCTGGAAGATGCTCCTGCTGGATATAGTTCCTCTCACACCTGCTGGACACGCACAGTCTCTTTCTGACATCATTTGGCTGAGCAATAAAGAGATCCAGTTGTTCGCCAAAGGCTCGGTCGTACTGAGCATCACCCCCAAAGCCATTCCTGCTGGTGGTTGTTTCCATCATTTCTGAGCTCCACTGACTTTCCCACGTCAACGCGGAGCCGGGATCCTCGTGAAACTTCTCCTCAGGTCTCTCCAGCATGTCGGAGTCACACATCGTGCTTACAGAGCTGTCAGCCAGGCAGTCCCTCCTTCTGTTCTCATCATGCACTGAAACAGACAGATTCCACAGTCTTTCAGTTAAGGAAATCTCTTAATGGTATCCAGAAGCCTCATCTACGGCTGCACGGTGCCAACCGACGGATGGAGGCAGTATGATGGAAGGCTTTAATACGAGGGAGAGGGAAAAGCCAGTGTTCCACTGAAACAAAACCTCCAGGAGAACAAATGGTCCTTTTTGCAATTCAAATCTAGGTGAATAATCACTAATGTGACACCTCCCCTTCAGGTCTCATTCAGCTCTCTAATGTGTCAGCCTGAGTTCCCTGTGTTTCCGACAGGGCAGACAGCACCGCAGCTCAGCGCTCCACTGCACAGCTGAAGAAGCAAAGGTCCACGCTGAGGCAGCAAAGCCAGGCAAACAGCTCAGCGTGCACAACCCCTCCTTGTACGTGAGCTGCTGCCTCTGCAGGCTGGGCTGCTGCGGGGAGAGCTGAGAGCAGTGCTGAGGCAAGAGGAAGGCTCCCGTGACTTGGAGCTGATCCCAGTGCTGCTGGCACAAGGCAGCCAGAGCTGACAGCTGCCTGTCCTCCAGAAAGCCCTCCTGCTTTCTTCTGACTCCCAACAATCCATCCCAGAAGGTACCGGACAACTCAGCAGCTTAGGCACAGCTCTAGATTTACCCCAGACAAAGCAAATCCCACTCTTCTCTGCCTCTCGTTCCACTGCTCTGCAATTTTCCTCTTTCTAGAATTAAAGTTTCCAGTGTCTCATTTTTCAGACTAATTTTCCTCAGTAGTCTTCAGCTCAGGCTTCTCATGCTCCGTGATTCTTTTGTCCCCTGAGACCTGTGTCCCATCCAACTGCTCAGAGCTGCTGCAGAAAGGCTCCACTGAGCACTGTAAGGGCCATGGGTGGCCGACTGAGACCAGCACCATCCACACTGCACAAACATCCCAAGCTCTTATTCCTCCTGCTGTGCTCTGAGGACTCTTAGAGCAGCCAGAACAGGAATCTCTACGGAAAGGTGTAGGCAGAGCTGATCCAGCCTTCCACCAAGCCAATATCCTGGATGACTCTTTGTTTCTGTGGGGTAGAACCATGCAGGGAGGCAGCTCCCATAAGGTGACTGGCGGACTGAGAGTCTAATTTACTCTACAGTAACTTTACCACGCCTAAATAACTTAAAGATGATGCATCCCCTCTTCAATCACCCAGTCAGGAGCTGCACTCCGGAGCTCTGCGCCACAAGACTGCAGTTAATATCCCAGTGCAGATTTGTGCAGCTAAAGCTTCCCTAAGGCTGAGCCTGCATCCAGAGATGTGCCTCTGTCCCCTAACTGCCCCTCAACCACAATCCAAGGCAGCTTTTGGGACAGTTTGAGGCTGCTGGGGGACAGAAAGCACAGAACCTACTTTGCGAACAAGCCTCAACCGGCAGACTGAGGTTTGCACCTGTTCTTTCATGGCTTACATTATAAGGCCATGAATTTTAATAGATGAAAAAAAGCTTTAAATTAGACACACTATCCCAAGAAATCTCAGCTGAAATTCACGACCGACCTGCACTTGGCTCTGCAGGGATTTCTTCTTTCTCTGAGCCCTGCTGCTCGGGGCAGTGCGGCTCCTCCTCTCGTTTAATCCACGACAAGACCGCAGTCACGCAGCTCTGCGACTCTGTTTGTTGGGGAAAATGTACACAACTGAGAAACACCGGAGAAAGACACGAAGCAGAGGAGATTTGGGAGCTCACAAAGATAAGAGAAGCACCCACAAAGCCTCGGGGGAGACAAAAGGTCAGGAGGCACTGAGGGGCCACTCCTACAGCGGGAGCTGTACAGGGAATCCTCACCTGCATCTCCTGGCAGGTCTTCATGCGCTGTGCCGGGCAGCTCCCTGCCGTACGCCTCCGTGCCTCTCTTGGTCTGACCTGGAGCTTCAGGCTCAAAGAATGCTGGCTCTGTAAAGGGGAAAGCCCACGGCAAGCCTACCAGAAGCGCTCAAGTTCAGGACGTTACAAGGCTGAGACCTGTTCTGATTTGATTTTTTCCCCCAACCCTACATTTTACACAGGCTCCCATAAGCCTGGTTTATTCACAGAACCTCACAGGAGCCTCTAAAAATCCCAAAGCCGGAGACCAAATAAAACTGTCAGCGCCAACAGAGCGAGCTGCTGCCCTTTGTATGGAGTGAGGGCAGTCAGCTCCAAAGCACAGCAGCTGCTCAGCGAGGCAAAGCAGTGCCACCAAAGCAACGGAACGCCGCCGAGCAGCCGGGACTGCCAGCTCTGTTCAAAACCTGCAGGAGTTCCAGCAAAGCTTTGGAATGCGTGAGAAGAGAAGAAAAAAGCCAACAAGGCCTGGAATGCAGTGGCTCCGTTTCTCTCCCCCCCGGGGCACGCAGTTGCTCACCTGGGCACGGCTCCCGCTCCGCTCCCGCAGCCTCCAGCTCCTCCTGCGCCGCTGCGCGCGGCTCTTCCTCCTTCTTAACACAGACACCGCCGTCTTCTGCGTGGGGAATTCAGGCAACATCAGCTCCCGTATCCGAAACTAACTCTAAGCCCAGCAGAACCTCTGGCTGCGCCCCTTCCTGAGCGAGGCCCGCCCGCATCCCTCGGCCACATCTCCCAAAGCTCTGATCGGACGCACAGTTCCTCGTGCCGCGCCGCAGCGCTGCCTCCCCGCCGCCCTCCGCTCCCGCAGCGCGGAGCCGCGCCGCGATCTCCTCCCGCTCTCCGCGGCGGCTCCGCTCCCCTCCCCGTCCTTTCGGCCGCAGCCCCGGCGCCGCCGCGCACCCTCCGCTCCGTCCCCGCGTCGCGGCGCTCCCCGAAGCGGCTCCAATCGTCGCTCCAGCGCCCGCACGCGGCCCCGCAGCGCCAGCGCGAGCCTCAGCCGCCGCTCCGCCCGCGCCAGGCGGCCCTCCAGGCGGAGCAGCCGCGCCGACACCGCCCGGCCCAGCAGCGGCCCCGCCATGGCCGTACGAACAGCGGCCCGCAACCCCGGACGGCCCCGCAGCGCCCTCTGCCGCCGCCCCGCACCGGGAGGCGGAGCTGCCGTGCCGGGAGGGCGGAGCGGGGAACGGAGCCCGGCGGGGGTCGCGGGGCACGGAGCCGCGCTGTGCTCAGCGCTGCCGGGGCGGCACGAACTGCAGCCCAGGAGCTGCCCCTCTGCGCGGGGACGGCGGCTGCGGGCTCTCCTCCTCGGGGAGCTCCCACCCCGCTGTGCTCTGGGGGGCCCTGCTGGGTTGGGGGACCGGAGGAACCCCGAGGGTCCCCATCCTCAGCCACACTGCGGGTCTGCGGTCTGAAGGAGCCCGGGCCCATCCTTGTGCCTGTGGTTCCTCTCAGGAGCTCCGTGGTGCCACCACGGCCACAGCACAGCAGACATCACCGCTGCGGGATCCCAGCTGGGATCTGGGGGTGTCACCTCCGTGGCTCTGCTCTGCCAACCTCCCGAGGAGCACCAAACTCATGGGAGATGTGCACAGTCAGGCCAAAAACACCCGAGGTCCTCCACTTCATGCAGGTGTCCCTACAGAGGTGCCTCCATCATAAGCCCTGAACCATCACCTCCTCACCTCAACCCCTGAGCAGAGCACAGCACTGTGGGGGGATGAGAGCCACACTGCTTCGGTGCAGCACAGGACACGGGCAGCTTTCCGGGCTGTAAGCACACCTGTGTTCAGTTCTGCATCCCCCAACAGCCCCAAGTCCTCCTCCTCGTGGTTGCACTCAATCCAAGCGCTGCTCTGTCCATGTCTGTGCTTGGCATTGCCCTCACCTGGCTGTAGCGCTGTGCACTTGGCCTTCTTGGAGCACAGGTGGTTTGCATGGCCTGATCTCAGCCCTTTCTGGGGGGCAGCCCTTCCCTCCAATGTCAGACTGCAGCACACTGCTTGGTGTCATCAGCAAAGCTGCAAAGACATGAGATGGTTTTGGTCCCAACACCGTTTGTCACCCATCTCCACGTGGACATTGAGCCACTGACCACAACTCTGAGTGCAATCACCAGCCAATTCCTCACCCACCAAACGGCCCATGCATCAAATCCACATCTCCAACACAGAGACGAGGATGCCGTGTGCGACAGCGCCAAACACACTGCATGTGTCTGTGTGGATGGCAGCAGCTGCTCCTGGCCGAGAGTTGCCCCGTGATGCCAAAGATGTGGTGCTGTGCCACCAGAGCCAGGTGGGCTCCCCCAGCATGGCCTCCATGGGCCCCTACCAAGGGCTGCTGGAGCAGAGAAACTCTCCTTCTGCACATCCAAAGGGTCCAGCCCACCCCAGATGGACATGGAGGCAGCTGTGTGGCTCGTGCGTTGTTCTGGTCCTGCTGCTGAGGGCTGCCAGAGGACAGGGCCTTCTCTGCACCTACACATGCTCTCATGTCTTCTGTTTAATTGGTGCATAGGAGCTTGGATGCTGGTGTGCCTCTCCAAAACTGAAGTGGCAGCAATGGCACGCAAATAATTCCTGCCTTGATGAGGCACAACGCTCAGAGAGGCTTTCACCAAGCAGATCTGAAGCGGTGAAGCAATCAGAGACGTGGAGCTGCATCTGAAGCAGCTCTAACAGCAGAAGGTTCTGCAGTGAACAAACCACCACGCAGCTCAGGGTGCACATAGAAGACCTCATGCTCCTGAAATACGTCCTCCTGCATCTGCCCTGGCCTTTCCCTGCAGCTTCTGGTCCATCCTTTAAGCAACGCTGTGTCTGTGCACGGGAAGGATTCCTCTCTTCTCCTTGGAAGATCAGTGTGCTCCTGTGCCGCTTGGCATTTCTTCTTGGATTCAGGGCTGAATTTTTAAAATGGAAGCAGCACAAAGCTCAAAATAGCTCCGTGATCTGTTATAAATACACATATTGATCTCTGAAATACAAGAGCTCAGCTCAAGCAGGGAAACTATGACTCACTGCACGAAGTACAGCTTCATCTGCATTATCAAAGGTGGCATCAGTAAGTGATGAAATACGGAGCTTCGGCAGCAGCTACCATGTGAAGCCTCCCCATCAAAATCAGGGGAGTGCTGTCAGGATGGTGTCATCCTTCCCAGCCCACACTGCTGGACACACTGGCACAGGTTGCCCAAGGAGGCTGTGGATGCCCCATCCCTGCAGGCATTCAAGGCCAGGCTGGATGTGGCTCTGGGCAGCCTGGGCTGCTGGTTGGCGACCTGCACACAGCAGGGGTTGGAGCTGGATGAGCATCGTGCTCCTTTGCAACCCAGGCTGTTCTGTGATCCTGTGACACTGAAACAACCAACTTTTCACACAACAGCAGTGCAACACGGAGCAGAGGTGGCAACACTGTACCACGCCATAACAGTACATAAAAGTTGCCTGTAGTTGTTGGTTTGTAGAATGACCCACAAAAGTGATCCTAGCCAAGATTCAGGCTGCTGCCATCACAGAGCACCGCTGCTGCTTCATGCAACAGCACCTCTACCTTTGTATCCCAGAATAATCCTGCTCTGCCTCGACTCCAATGGGCCAAACTGATGATGGCTGCAATCACAGCATCACAGAATGCCCAGGGTTGGAAGGGACCTCAAGGATCATGAATCTCCAATCCCCTGCCACATGCAGGGCCACCAACCTCCACATTTAATGCTAAACCAGGCTGCCCAGGGTCCCATCAATCTGGCCTTGAACACCTCCAACGACGGGGCATCACAGCCCCTCTGGGCAGCTGTTCCAGCACCTCACCACTCTCTGGGTAAAGAATTTCCCCGATGACCGAATCCTTCAGCAATCCTGTGGTTGCTGAAAACTTTTTGATGGCAGCACTGACTTGGTTTGTTTGTGAGAACAGCACAATGAGTAATTTCCATCCTGTCTGTAGGTGCTATTGGCACTGTGACACCGTTTGAATCTCAGATACACACACATGGAAATCAGCTCTCCTGCTCAGGTTCCACTGCAGCATTAAAACAAACCAAAAAATGCAATCAAAACCCACAACTCCATTGTGTTTGTGATGCAAGGTAGGTGTGTGTCTTCCCATCAGTGAGGCAGGGTGCTACAAACACAGCAGGACCCCTGAGAGCTCAGTGACCATGCACACAGCCCTTCCCTATGGACACACACCGGGGGCCAAGCAAGCAGGAAAAAGTGCTTTTCAAAAAGACCCCAAAAAAAAAGAAGTGCTTAAGGCTTCACAGCTTTCATCCATTCAAGTTTAATGTTATGGTAATAAAAAAAATCAAGTATTTACCGCTGCAGGTTGAACTGGCATTTGCAAATGACAGAAACGTGCTCCCTGCCCTGGGGGCTCACAGTCTACGCAAGGAAAAGGAGGAAACAAGCAGTTGAGCAGCTGTCAGCAGGAAGCACTGGAGGATGGATCAGTTTACTGAACAGGCCCAAACGGATTGTCTGGATGTCAAATGCCTTCTGCTGCTGACTGCCAAGAGATTCTGCTTAGCATGTCGCACAGCAAAGCAAAACTGGTGCTCAGTGCTTCGTGGTACCGAGCGGGCACTGAATGCTGACAAGTGACAAAACACAGAACATTGGCTGTCCCCAGAGATATTTTGGGGGAAAAAAAATAGGTGAGTACACAAAGAGAGGCTTCACCACACACAGAGCTGCTCGGAAAGCAAAGATCTCAGCAGCACTAGGATGAGAAGAGGCCACGGGCAGACGTGTCAGGGAAATGCCTGCAGCGGTTGACGCTCCTGCAGCAGAGTTCTGTGCCACTCCTGCGGATGAGCAGGCTCACACAGGCTCACACAGGCTCACACAGGCTCACACAGGCTCACACAGGCTCACACAGGCTCACCCTGACCTGCTCCAGATTCTGCAGGAATCAGGTTAGCCTAAACCAGAGCCTGGAGCTGCCTCGCCGCTTGGCTGCAACAGGCACAGCAGCACTGCTGTCTTGTGCTCCAATGTCAGGGCAGGTGGTGTTGAACAGCGAGGTCCTGGAAAGAGCTCACTGCTGGGCCAGAAGAGCTTCCAGCTAACAGACCTGCCCAGGAACACTTCTGTCCCTGCAAGCACGAGCCAGCCATATGCACCTGTCCTAGTGGGCACCTGGGGACCAGGAAGTGGCAGAGAGGTTTCAAAAGCCCTGTGGGTGATGAGGAGATCAAAGAGCAGCTTTAAGCCAGGTCAGGCAGCACTGTGAGCCCTGAAGCTGCACGATGTATTGGGGCTGTTGGCCGAACGCGTTTCCTTCTGGGATATAATGAAAGCCCATCTCTACTATCAGAAGAGCATACGTACCCCACGCTAGCAGGAGGAAAGAGAGATGAGGACAATAAAGACAAAGGAAAAAGTGTTAATGCAGGGGCAGATACAGAACATCATCTGAGTGCTCACTTCAGCCTGAGGGCACAGCTGAGCACTGCCTCTGGCTTATCAGTTGTTTCTCCCTTCAGTTCCACCGGGAGTCCAAGAGGTACCAGGAGGAGCCTGGGCAATGCTGCCTCTATTAGGTGTGCTCAGAAGCAAGACAAAAAGGGAATTCCCCTGTCACTGCAGTACAAACCCAGAGTCTCCCTGCGAGTCATCAGTGACACTTCCTCTCGTGCATGTCTTTAATATCCTGGAGTCCTTTAAACATGTCACTCAAGCTTGCCCACGAAACTGAGCGCAGCAGAAATTCATCAAGGAATGCAGGGAGGGAAACTCCAGGTGAAAAGCAGCTGCTTGCTGTAACCAGTTCAAATAACTGACTCAAACCTGGAGAGACCCGACACACTTTTGTTCTTAAGAGACTTTCAGCTAACTATGAGGTATCGCATCATCACCACCACGAAGAAGAGGGCAGTCATGCCGTGGTGGATCCTAATTCTACTTTATGATAAATAGAGACTTGGATGCTGAGCAGCAGAGACTCTGTCCTCTCCTGCCTTCCTCGCCCGGGGGCCGTAGGGCCACGTGAGCCCTGCACAACCTAGAAGCCCTATAGCGGTGCCTCCCTCGTGTGACTCCTGACGGCGCAGTTCCTCTCTCGCAGGTGGATCTTCTCGTGCTGAAGGAGGTGCTGCTTCTGGGTGAAGCGTTTCAAGCACTCGTTGCACTGGTATGGTCTCTCCCCAGTGTGGATCCTCTGATGCCGGATCAGATTGGAGGGATGGCTGAAAGTCTTCCCACAGTACGAGCACCAAAGGACCCCCGGGCTCCGGCCCGAGTGCACGCGCTGGTGGACGATGAGGGTTTTCTTCTGGGAGAAGCACTCCTGACACTTGCTGCACTTGTAAGGCTTCCCCTGTGGGTGCCCCGGTTTGCTGCGGTTGCTGCTGATGCTCTTCATGCACCTGGAGCTGCCACGTGCCTTGTTTGTGGCTGGGGGAGCTTTTACCTTCGGGTTCTGCTTGAAGCTCTCTGTGGCAACGTGGATCTGCTGGTGAGGCTGATGGATAAAGATGTTCTCATCTTCAGCGGGCTCACTGCCACACAGCGTGCTGTAATTCTGCTGCTGCATCATCAGCATCTTCTTCAGACACAAGCCCTTCCTACATGCAACACATGAGTGAGGCCTCTCCTCGGGATACTCTTGCCTGTAGAACGTGACGGTGTTGATTTCACCAAGATCACCTTCCCCAGAAGCAGATGGCACCGACCTGCTCATGCTCTGGTTTCCCAGGGGCACAGCAGAGCTGTACTGACTGTCAAAGGGCAGCACCTCGTTGGCGCTCTGGAAAACCACGTCTTCCGATTCCCCGGATAAAGCTGTGGGACACTCTGAGCTTTGCAGGCATTCATCAGAGTCCAGCTGCTCTATTTTGAATGCTATCACCTCATCAGCTGGAACTGAGGAGAAAAACAAAGGGGACATTCACTGCCGGGAGACAGAGATGCTTCTCAAACGCCCGTCCTTCCCCTACCACCCTTGCATCAAACAGGCCCCTCTTAGCAGAGAGCATGAAACACTGCTGTACCAATCGAGTCAACTGGAGGACTCAAACAAGACAGAATACGAGTGAAGAGCACAGGAGTGCTGCCCTTCCAGCTGGCTGAGCAGCGAGTGTCAGAAGCCACAACAGAGGGAGCAGAGAGAAGCGCTGCCTTCCAAGACAGCACACGCTTCAGCGCTGCCCAGAGCTTCCAAAATTGCTTCCAGCTGTCCTCCTCCTCCCAGGTGCTAAGATCTCATGAACCTGGGGTAGGACTTTGCTTCCCACTGCATCTGCTGCCCTCCATACACCAACATCCCAGTACTTCACACTCTTCAGACAGTGGTGGCCCTTTCCACGAGATCCACCTTCCCTCTCCTCCCAGGATGTGGCGACCCCCCTGTGCAGCCTCTTTGTTGAAGGGGAACACATCAACACTCCCAATTTTTGACTCGAGATGTGCTGCTCTGGATGTGTACGTAACAAGGTGACAACATGCAGAGGTGACACTACGGGTGGACGTGAAAAAGAGCACTCACAGCAGGGCAAATACCAACAAAAACTGAACAAGACCTTTGGATGCCTCTGATGAAGCACAAGAAGAAACAGAGACCAGGACTGAGAGTGAGGGAGAAAGTATGAAACAAGGAAATGACTGCAGAGCTGGTATCAAGCCCTCAGGTATGTGCTGAGGGACTCCTCTGGAGCACAGCTCCTTCCTCTGAGACTGCTACCACCAGGCAGAAGAAATTCCAGGGAAAACTATCAGAAACGCCTCGTCTACCCATCACTTCAATCTTCCTACACGTAAAACTGTCTGTAACATTTCAGTCTGCTTTCTCAACCCCAGCACGGCTCTTGCTCTCTCCCCAGGGCCCGGCACATGCAGGGGGAACATCTGGGGTGCCCTCATGCAGCACTGGCTCTGCAGTGGCACAGCACTTTGTGGCACTGCTCAGAACTCACCCACGCTGAGCTCAGTGAACTCTGCACCCTCCGTGGCTTCCTGCTCCTCTGCACACACCTCTTCATTCTGCTTCAGAGCTCCTGCGAAGCTCGGCTCTGGAATGCTGAAGTCTGCTGATGTCAAGAGAAAAACTCCCTTACTGGGTATCACAGCACGCTTTGGCTCTTCCCTCCCTGCACCCAGCTTGCTCCCTGCCACCCCAATTTCTTACACAACCTTTCCTCAGCACTACCTGCTGTTCTCAGCCCTGTAGGGAGGGGGCTTCCTCTTCCCCCACAGCTGACAGTGTTTCAGGACAGCATCCTCCCCGGTGCTACATCCAGGCACACACTTTCCAACCAACACTCATTGGGTCTGGCAGACACCCGGTCCCAGAAGGACCCCTTCAGACCCCCAGCCCCACAGATGCTCCTTTCACACCCCCAAATGCTGTTTTCTTCCTTCACGTTGCTCTTGTTCTCTATGGCACTGAACTCCTTTGCTGCCTTAGCTGCCTGCATCAGATCTAATCAACAGATATTCTGCTAATGGGAAAGATCAAACCCACTGCGTGCTTTCTGACACTGTCGTTCCCCTGGAGCCTGCTCTCCTTGAGAAGCTCCTTTCATAGTAAATTAGGACCATCACCTGGCATATCCTCTGTCTGGGGACAGCACCACACACTCATTATCCCCAAGGGTAAAAAATGCCATCAATTCATCTCTTGCCTGCATTTGGTTCTGTAGGAATCTCCTTCTGTCCTGAGGTCACCTCACTGCAGGGCACTTCTCCTCTCTGAAGCCGGGATGAGAGGTCAGGTTTGGAGATTGCATAATCTGTTGAGAAACAGAAATGTTAATGTTTCCGTGTTGCATCAAACTGCTCTCATTGCTGCAGGTGACAGGAGAGGGAACAAGGTGCCAAGCCAAGCCTACAGTAGCCATGGGGAGGAATGTACCTCTTCAAACAGTACTGGCAACAGCTGCGTGCCCCAGAACAGCTCCATTGGCCAAAACACACCACCCAGTGAGAGCCCACTGCACGGGGGGCTCTGCACGGCCCACCTTGGGCAGCCAACTCCATCCCAGCACCAAAAACACCCAGAGCCCCGAGGGAAGGGGCTGGTAGGCTGGGCTTGGCACACAGCAGGGCTCTGGGAGAGTCAGCAGCCAGTTCCCACTCCACTGAACGCTGAGGCTCTGGATGAGCTGTGCTCCATGCTGGCAGCAGGCACAGACCTCTGTGTGCTTCTACAGCTTTGGCTCCTGAGTGCAGGAAAGTTCCCCACGGCAGCTAACCCAGAAGCACCCAGAACTGACTTTAAAAGCATTCTTTACCCAGAGAGTTCAGAGATTCACCGTCCCCTCTCAGCACGTTCTTGTACAGCTCCTTCTGCCATTCCTCCAGGTTCTCCCACTCTTGCTCAGCAAAGCAAGCCGTGTCACTTTCAGATGCCTCTGGGGCCTGCAATTGTAAAAGTCACAAACTCAGCCCTGAAGCAGATACCTCTGCCATCCTTACAGCACTGAAAAGAGAGAACTTCTGCATTTCTATTTATCACTGCTACCGTGCATCAGGTGCTGAAAGGGCAAAAGAAATTATGCCTCAAAGCATCGTTACGACTCAGATCCTCAGTCTGAAGAATCTTCTTCCTCTGTGCTAATTCTGGGCAAGCATATTGCCAGTTTCTCACCGTTCTGTTTCCTTCAGTGTTATTTTTATGGGGATTTAGTAACCATCTGTCCTTTTGCAAAGAGATTCCAGTAAATATAAACTCGAATACACATACAAACAACCACCCCCAGTTGTATTTGCATTTCTAGCACAGTAAAACATCCTCCTCACAGGCAGCTGATGTGCTTGGGGAAATAAAGGGTTTCCTGGGAAACCTCAACCAGGTGCCACCAGCACTGGGGCACACTCAGTGCCCACAGGGAACATCCAGATCACAGCATGGCCTGGGTTGCAAAGGAGCACGATGCTCATCTCATTGCAACCCCTGCTGTGTGCAGGTCGCCAACCAGCAGCCCAGGCTGCCCAGAGCCACATCCAGCCTGGCCTTGAATGCCTGCAGGGATGGGGCATCCACAGCCTCCTTGGGCAACCTGTGCCAATGCCTCACCACCCTGTGGGTGCAGTTTGTTACCTTGAGGCCGGAGGGCAGACGCAACACACAGAAGTTCCTGTTCTTCAGCAGGTTCTCCATGTGCTCCAGACGCCGCTGCAGCTGCCCGTACTCCCGGATGAGAGTGCCCAGCACGGTCAGCTTGCTCTCCAGCTGGTTCCCAAAATCCACCACTGTTTTTTCACAGTCCAAGTACTTTTTCTCAGTGGTTACCGTCCTTCGCTCTAGGTTGAGCAGCCGGGAGGCGTGGGCCTCTACGCTCTTCTCCACCGCCTGCACTGCAGCCACCACTGTCCACAGCGAGATGCTGGCGGTGCTGCTTGGCACGGCTTCACCTGGTGCTTGAGGGAGGCCGGATGAGCAGAGGCAGCTGCCGGGGAGCGCGGAGGCCATGTCCCGCTCCAAAGGACAGGCTGAGGCCGGCAGCTGTTCTGCTCCCGGTGTCCTGCAGGGTCCTTGAGCTGCTAAGGGTGGGAGGGAGAGCTGTGAGGCCTTGGCACACCGGGAGCGGGCTTCCCTCCCCATACAGGGACACCGGGACTGAGCCTCTCACATGGGGACACCAGGACCGGGGTTCCTGCCTTGTGAGGGCACGGCGGGCACACCAGGACCGGGGCAGTGACCTCATGTGAAGACACCAGGAGCGAGGCCTTAATTCCGTGCCAGGACCCCAGACCCGGCCTTCCCCGCCCATACAGGGACACCAGGACCGGGCTGTTAACCCCACACAGAGGACACCGGGGCCTGGCTTTCCCATTCCGCTGGGAAACGGGCTCTTAAGTCAGGTAGGGAACAGCGGCACAGGGGCCCTCGCTCTGCGTGGGGACATCCATCCCAGCTCTCCCCCCACGTATCAGGTCACCAGGAACGGGTTCTCACCTGGGACCGCGGCCTGCCCCCACACGGGGCCCTCATCCCACGTGGGGACCCCAGCCCTCCGCATCCCTCCGTGCGGGGACACGGGGCCTCACCTCTGCGAGGGCGCCCAGATGGAGCTTTCCTCGGCAAGGGGCCGGCAGGACCGGGCCGCTATCTCTCCGTGCGGGGTCAGGAGAGCCGGGCCTCGCCCCCACTACACGGCACCGGGACGGGGCCGTGGGACCGGACGCCGTTCCACGTGCGGGCACCGAACCCAGGGCCTCAAGTCTGTGCGGAGACACCGGGCCCACGCTTCCTTCCCCACACAGCGTCACCCAGACCCGGCTCCCGTCCCCGCACAACGGCACCGAACCGCACCGAGCCAAACCGAACCGAACCGAAGAACCCCGGCCCACCTGCCCCGCGCCCGGAGCCTCCGCCGCCGCCGCCTCGACCGCACCTGGCGCCGTCCCGCCGGGAGGTGCCGCCTGGCCGCCGCTCTTTGCAACAGCGCCCCCTGCCGGCCGGAGGGCGCCATGCGGCGAGGAGAGGCGGCACCGCCACGTGAGCCGAGAGAGCGGTGCAGCGCGCATCCCGACCAGCAGGGGGCGCTGCCTGCACGAGGCCTGCGGTGCGAGCGATGGGGGAGGGCCGGCGCCGTGGGCTGCCCCGTCCCGTCCCGTCGGGTGTCGGTGTGGTGATGGAGGAGCTGTACGCCCGCATCGAGGCCCTGGAGCGGCGGCTGGAGCGGGCAGAGGCTGCGCTGAGGGACAGGGAAGCCTGGGGGCCGCGGTTGCCCTCGGTACGGCCCTTCTCGGGGAGGCGTCGGTGGGGGTTGTGGTGGGTCTGGGGGCTGCTCGTGGGGCCGGCTGAGGGTCTGGCTGGAAGCTGCTCGGGGGCCCTCAGGCTGTGAAGGAGTGTCGGTGGGGCTGGGGGTCGCCGGTGGCTTTGGGGGTGAAGCTTCCCGGGCTGGACGTCTGCACTGAGAATGCTGGTGGTGCTGCTGGGGGGCTTGGGAGGTGCGTGGGGCAGAGGTGAACGTGGGGGCTCTGATCGGGGCT